AACAAATTGGATTAGGAGGGCTGCAGGCGCCTCCTCCCCCACGCTGTCGGCTCCGACACTGAGCAGGCCTGCAGAGCAGCCAGCTGCGGTCTTTCGGCCAAGCTGACAGGTCGGCCTCCTCAGTCCCCTCACCCCACCCCCCGGCCCCGGGAAGGGGGCCTGGGTCCCAAAGAATGCCATGATGATGGATGGGCTGAGGGAGGTTCCAGGGCTAGCTCAAGAGCACACAGGATGTTCGTGCTTATGTGAGGCTCATTTCTGAACAGTTTCCAGCAAACCAGCCCCACCTCCCTTGCCTCCCTCCCCTCCAGCAACCTCTCCCACGGTCACCCGGTCACTGCTGCCAGAGCCCAGACCCCGAGCAGATCTACCCCCCAACTCTTGGTCCCACAGCTGGACTGAGCAGGAACTGGTCACTTAGGAAGCAATGCCCTGGGGCTGAGACCCAGGCACTTCAGAGGGAAGACGAAATCTGTGAACTGAGACAACTCCATCATAAAAGTGGCATCTCTGTGCTTTCTCATCCATTGTTTTATTTGATCCTCAGAATGTGTCAGGGAGTTAGGACATTGTGCCCATAATACAGACGTGACTACTGAGCTTCATTCAGTCAATGATCCCATAGCCCTCCTGTTCTGAGCCCCGAGTCTGCACCAGGCCCTATTTGGGGTGCTGGGGAATAACTTGCAGTATCTACCCGCATGGCTTAATGGAACAGTCACCTTTCGCCCAGATCACTAGGCACTAGGAGCCCCCTGATATTCCTGGGGAGCAGCTCCAGCAGAATCCCTTTTCCATATGGCATGTGTGAGCAGTTGAAATTATCACCAAGAGGAGCCTTAGCAATCAGCCCATTCAGAACACAGATCCTGAAGTCAGACATCCCCAAGTTCAAATCCTGCCTTTCTCTCCTTTTAACTGGATGGCTGGGGTCTTAGTCATTTGAAGCCTGTTTGCCCACCTGAAAGATGGAAAATACAAAAACTCCCACTTTGTGAGACTGACTGTGAGGACTAATTCTTATTTTCCTTATGCTTATTCAACACAGGGAGAAACAGGGGTCTGGAGAGTGCAAGGGCTCGGCCAGGGTCACACTAGGGGTTAAGTCATAACCAGGTGGATCCCTTCCCCCTGCCCCCTGACCTGCTTCACCCTAAGCAGCCCACAGCCACAATAGCTGGCCAGTTTGTGCAGGGTCCACAGGGACATGTCCTGGGTCCTGCCCTCTTCCTTGAGCCCTGCCCAGCCTCTACAGCACCAGAGTCCCAGGTGACCAGCAGTGGCCCCCCGCCTGCAGAGACGGCGGGGGGTGGGGGCGCTTGCAGCAGGCTCCCAGCCCAGAGCAGCCTGGCCATATAAGGGAAGAAGCCAGGAAGGTCTCCTCGCTCAGGCCTGGCGAGAAAATCCAGACAGCCACTGTTTATTTTCTCCTTCCCAGCCTCCCCAGAGCTTCCCAACAGAAGACACAGGCTGCCCCCCGGGGCCAAGCGACATTTCCTGAAGACAGTGGGGAACAGGGAAGGAGAAACAGTCCATCCTCCGGGAGTAGGAGGATGTGGACAGCCAGCACCAGGTAAGATTCTGCCAGGTAAGACTGTGAGGCCACCTGTTCGACTGACTCTTTTGATGGAATGGGAAACAGGGAGGTAGTAAGACATGCTTGTGAGAAGGGATCACACCACTTGAGTCTACTTAGTGGGACCCATCTCCTGACTGGGGACCCAGAGCAAGGAGGGGCCTCTTGTGGGGTAAGTGGAACAGGAGAGCTATAGACCCCCTTCTCAGTGAGACCTCATTTGAAAGAGAAATGGGGTCAAGGTCAGCTCTGTCTGCCTCCCAGCAAGGATGCAAAACTCAAGGGAGGATTTCCTGGAGCCAGAAAGCCAGCAGAATGACACCTTTCCTGCACCTCTGCCCTCCTCCCAGTCCAGCTGCACCACCTTCTTCTCCAGGAAGCCCTCCTAGCTCCCCCAGGGAGGAGGAACCTAAGCCCTCAGCAGTCTTCTCTGGGCTCTCTCTTAGGCCACTTGGGTCTGTCCCCTATTCAACTCGCCACGGGCATTTATCCTTCCATCTCAGCCTGACTGCGCTCCTCCAGGGTAAGGACCATATCAGATGCAGGCCTGTACCCTCGGCACATAGAAGACACAATTGGTTTGCTAAATGGATGGATGAAATGGTTAGACCCTGTCCTCAACCCTGACAGACTGGTATAGTGGTCAGGGGAGGAGATGTTCAGCACGGAGGTTGAAAGTCATGATCCTGAGGCGGCCGTTCTGATAGGAACCCAAGCTGGGCTCCTAGCTCTGTGCCCTTAGAAAATCCCCTTCTCACAGAACTTTGGGATGCACAGGGATTAGCACAATGAAAACATTCAAAACATGACAATTCTTTTTATCATCAGCGTCACTATGGTCTTTCTGGAGACAAAGGAACAGAACCAGGCAGCCTATAGCCACAGAGGATATGGAAGCAAATACCTTCCCCTGGTCAAAGGCCTCAACCTCTGGCCCTGCGTCAGAGTTTCCCACAGGAGCGTGGGACTGCCTCCCATCCATTTCCTGTCTCTACACCCAGGAGAGCTGCTATCTTTACAGCAATACTCTGAGCCCAACGGGGTGTGCTGGAAATAGCTGCCAATTCCCCTAGTACTAGCAGGGCTGTGACCCTGGAACCGTCTCCTCCCCTTCCTGGCTCGCCATGTGCAGTGATAAGGCTCCCCTGACCACCGCACAGCTGTTTTGCAGATTAAGCGTGGTGGGGTGGTTTTTCAAATGGCAGGCACTCAGATGTCACCCCCCTTTTTTTTTCAGATGCCCCCTTTTTAAGTTTTGCCATATCTGCAAACAATCGTAAGGTTTTAAATTAAAGGTGTCTTTTTTAATACCTAAATATAAATAGGAAACTAAACTCTGTCCATAATTAGGAGATAATAAAGATAAGAGACAGTAAATATGCAGCAGTGCTCTTACTCTTTCCCCTCGAGCTATGGCTTGCAAGGCGCTGGACTTGAGGGAGATAAACAGGAGCCTGAAAAGTGTCAGAGATAGGATAGCACCAAACTGAAGCTCTTTCCCCCACCCCGGGAAAACAGAAGGAGGACTGAAAGCAAACTGACAGGGAACAGCCTGGGTCACTGTGTTTTCCAAAGTCAGTGCTCTGGCCACATAGGCAGCAAAATTGAGAGAAGCCAAAAGTGGTCAGGTGAAAGAGCTTTGGAAAGAGTCCCGCACCGAGGAATGCAAGGGGCTGGCCTATCAGCTGGCCTCCCAGCAGCAAAGGCTCACTTCTGGGGCACAACCCTCCCTGGCTTCTTACTTAAACCTCCACGTTGGCTAGGCCAGGCGTCTCCTTTTGCAGAGCGAGTGGGAGCAGTCCGAGAGTGGAGTAGACAGGCTGTGGGCTGTCCGGGACCCCCCAGGCTGGGTCCTGTTGTTGGAGTCACTCCCCAGCCAAATGCAGTTGTAAGAAGTTCCTACTCATTATTGAGGAAGGCAGTTCCTTGGGTGGGAATACCTCATAGAGGGGCTGACCTGCCCCAAGTGGCAGACCAAAGGAAAACACTCTGCTGTTTGGGGCCTGATGTCAGATTTCTGTCCGAGGCATAAGAAAGTGGAAGTGAAAGTGAAGTTGCTCAGTCGTGTCTGACTCTTTGAGACCCCATGGACTGTAGCCTACCAGGCTCCTCAATCCATGGAATTTTCCAGGCAAGAGCACTAGAGTGGGTTGCCATTTCCTTCTCCAGGGGATCTTCCCAACCCAGGGATGAAACCCAGGTCTCCCACATTGCGGGCAGACACTTTACCCTCTGAGCCACCAGGGAGGCTAATTTTTGAAGGATGTGAGTGTTTTCCTGCTCTCTCCCAGCCCTGAGAAAAGGCTGCCAGCCCCCGCCGCCCTCCCGACATCCCTAAAAGTACATGTCATCCAGCATCAAGGCCATCACAATGGTATAAGCAGTGCAGGAGGGCTGCCCTGAGATCTTGGCGGGACAGCAGAAGAGGGTACAGGGCTCTATCTGCTCACTCAGAGGTTCCCACCTAAGCCAGGTCTTAAGAGGAAAACGAATGATCTACATGGCCATTCAGTCATCTACCAGCAGCACTCCCTGGGGTCCTTCACCATGTACAAAAGCCTCCACAAGGGATCCCCACCACGAACAAACATGGGTGCTGTCCTCAGAGAACTAGAGATCTACCCCAGTCAGACCCAGAGGCAAAGAGCTCTGACACTGGAGAGAATTCGGCTGAAGAACATGATTCAGTCACTTGGACAACACATAGTAAGCATCTACCATCACAAATGCAATAAAGGATGAGAAAGAGGGCAGAGACGACTTCCTTGGTGGTTCAGTAGTGAAGAAGCTGCCCTGCAAAGCAGGGGACTCAGGTGCAATCCCTGCTCAGGGAACTAAGATCCCATATCCCACCGAACAGCTGAGCTCTCATGCCACAACTAGTGAGACCATGTACCACACGAAGACTCCACGTGCCGAAACTAAGATCTAATGCGGTCAAATAAATAAATTTTTAAAAAAAGAAAGAGGAATAAATAAATAAATAAAAAAGAAAGAGGGCAAAGGATGTGTGAGGCTGTGGACCAGGGAGTTCTGATGTATGCAAGTCAGAGAGGGCTTTACAGAAAAAGTGGCCATTTAAGTAGAGACTCACCCCACCAAGAGGAGACGGGCAGGGGAGTGAGGGGGAGTAACATGGTTCCTAGGAGCCCCAAAGTGGTGGGCACAGGACTCCCTGGAGGAGTGGAAAAAGGGGGCAAGGGCCCAAAGAGGAACATCCCAGCTGGGCCAGATAGGGCAGGCCTATAGCCTTTTGTGAAGGTTTTAGAATTCAGCCAGAGGGAGACCTTTCACCATTTTAAGCCCAGGAGAAATATGGGCACATTTGCATTTTGAGAAATCATCCTGAGAGGCTGGCTGGGAAGGATGCGTGGAAAGTCGGTGGGAGCAGGAGCAAGGGAAGCCAGGTAGGAGGCTGAAGCAAATGTACTTTCATGATATAAAGTACCATGAATGTGCCATTTGGCTGGGATACACCAAGCATAAAGGTGAGGTATGGGGTCAGAAAGGTAGAACATCACCCAGGGTGAGGGGTGATGGGGCGGTAAAGGGTTCTTCTGGAATGATGAAATGTTCTAAAATTGATTGTGGCGATGCTTCTGCCACTCTGTGTTGTTGCATTCTTGCTCGGTCGTGTCCGACTCTTTGTGAGCCCATGGACTGTAGCCTGCCAGGCTCTCTTCCATCCATGGAATTTTCCAGGCAAGAATACTGGAGTGGGTTGCCATTTCTTCCTCCAGTGGATCTTCCCGACCCAGGGATAAAATCCTCATCTCCTGCATCTCCTGCACTGCAGGCAGATTCCTTCCCACTGAGCTTCCCATCCGGGAAGCCCAACTCACCATTCTGTGACTGAACTAAAGAACCATTTCATTGTGTAATTTGAATAGGAGGATTATATCTCAACAAAACTGTTTAAAAAGAAAAGGAAGGGTGAAGCTTGGTCCCAGAGGGCTCAATGCCAGGCGGAGGACAGGAAGCACACCCGGTGTAGCTGCAGAAACCTCCGGGGCAGGAGCTGGAGGGAGGAGCCGAGGCCCCTCTAATGCCCCTTCTCCTGCCGAGGGTGGACTCCCTGCCATCGACCCCTGGTGCAGAGCGGCATGGCGTCCTGTCTCCCAGCCTGAGGTGCAGTGCTGCATCTCTGGTCAGTTGGGAGTCTGAGATGAAGCACTGTAGCTCGGGAAGGGAGAAGTTGTTCTGCAGCCGTCGCCAGAAGTGGTAAGTGGTATGGTGCCTGCAGGCACCAGGAAGGACGGGAGTGTTTCCATTCTCCAGACTGTCCACTGAGGAAGTATTGGACTTGAGTCCTATCTGTGCCACTATCTGCTTCATGATTCTGGGCAAGTCCTGACTCCTCTGTGCACTGCAGTTTGTTCATCTGTGATACGAGGTTTTGGAGCATTCGGTGGTAGCCATTACGCGGTACCCTGACTCTGCTTTCTCCTGAGCCCCTGGGAGACACAGCTGAATCAGTCAAGGCATCCTTTCTTAAAGCATTCAGATGTGGCTTCAGAATCCTCCTTAATGCTAAGTCCTAGAGAGCTACTATTGATTCAAAGCTGAAACACTAAAAAAAAAAGCTGAAACATTTCATCATTTGTGAACTGGTCAATTCCTAAAAACTCTTTCAGACTAAAGACAAAGTCCTGGGCTCTGAGTCCAGCTCTTTACTCTTTGAGGTGTGGCCTAAACTAATCCAGGTATCTCCCAAATATCTGATCCCTCTCAGGGGCTTCAGACTACTCAGAAATAGCAGAGGAAAACCACTGGGCTAAGCACAATTTTATTTAACCGCCCTACAAGCTTGGGAGGTGGATTTTATTGACCCATTTTCCAGATGAGAAAACCGAGGCTCAGGTAAGCAACTTGCCCAAGGTCACACACAAATTATATTGAGCTGGGCTTGGAACCTAATCTGTTTGCCTTTAGATTCATGTTTTTACCCACTGCGTGTGACTTGGGAACCTGGGATTGGGGGAGCAGGAGGAGAACATAATAAATCCTATTCTAGTCTTGTCCTTACATCCTGGGTCACTTTTAGCAAAGACAGACTGAGACATTTTCCAATAATCCTATAGACTTCCCTCCTCTTCTTCCCACCCCCCACCATTGTATTTATCTCACCTTTCAAGTAGGTCCTATACCATCCCATTTTATAATTGGGGAAGACTGAGGTTAAGGGAGTTACTGGAGGTCACCAGCAAGGAAGGTGCCAAACAGAGACTGGGAACCAGAACTGTCCAGGTAGTTTCAAGTAGAACCCTCCCTCTGGCTGGAGACTCAGGAATACACACAATCCATGGCAACTGAAGAGGGGGGTGGGGTGTTACCAGATGATTTCTGGTCGACAACATGGCCTCTGACTACAGGAAGGTACTTTCCAGGGCCATTGAAGTTCCAGTTACTACCCCCTCCCCTGAAGCAATCATCCACATCCCGCCAGACATGGTGGCCGCGCTGGCTTCTGCAGAAGGGGCTGGATGCAGAAGAAAACTCCAGCTGGTCCTTAGGGATATGGCAGGGCCTTGGTGCTGAAGGCCACTCTCTCACCTTGTCCTCACGGTCCAGTTTTCCCAGGAATCCCTTAGATGCTAAGATGGGGATTCCTGGAAATACTGTTCTTGAGGTCATGGTTTAACAGCTGGATTCGCCTCCTTCCCACCCCAAGTTGCCCCCGCGGGACTTGGGCTCAAGCACATCATGAGGCCACATGGAAGGCCATGCGCTGGAGGTAAGAGGACTTGAGGACTGTGTTCTTGACCTTTAAACTGCTTTTCTTTCCATTTTGTCCATTTCGCAACATCCTGTGAGGCTGGAATGGGAACTTCACCTCTGTCCTACTCTTGGGAAATTTGTCCAGACACTCAGCTGAGCAGTGGTTGAAGTAGGACGCCATAAAGCTTGTGTCTCTTTCCACCTCCCCCAACCCCCATCCCAGTTCCTAGCATCCCAGGCAGTGGTGGGGGTGGGGTCACAATATCAAATCCACGTTAGTGATAAACAAATAAATATATGTGAATTTATTTTAAAAGTTCACTAGATCAGTTAACGTAAACTAAAAATTTGTAAGTTTTAGTTCAATTTGGAGTACCACAGAAAAATTTTATAATTTTTCATTAAAGTAAAGACAAAAAAGCTCAGACTGCCCTCTTGTGGTGACGCCTGCCACAACCCTGGAGAACCCAGGAACACTGGGTTGTCCACACACACACACACACACACACACACACACAGAGACTCCTTTTGAACCAGCTTAAGACCCATCCATCATTTCATTACCAATGAAGTCTCCATCACTTACAGTTTAATGTAACTCACATTACCTGGCTTTGTCCTCAAAACTCCTGAAGGTCAGTGAGATGGTGAAGTGACGAGAGGTGAAGTGACGAGCCCCTGGTCACCCAGATAGCATTAGGCAGAGCGAGGATCTGTTCCGAGTTCAGTGACTCAGCCAAAAGTAAAAACTACAAAAATAAAAAATAAAAGGAAGACATCTGAATAGGTGTAGAAAATGCTGGCTGAATGCCAGAGACCTGATGTGGTCCAGGTGTAACACTAGAACTTTTCAAAAAATCTTCCCAGTGCTTTTTATGGATTCTGTAGTGACAAAGAGGTGCCATGACCCCAGGATCCTTACTTTGGGGTCTAGTAGCCCTGTTCCCAGGGACCAGGTGGCTCCCACTTATGTATCAGGCTGTCTCTCTTAACAGGCCATGCTGCAGGCAATTTATAAAGTATCAGATTCCCACCTCTCTCCTCCTCAGACATTGGAGCTGGCCTGACCATGAAGAAATCTGATTTGCTCCAAATGATAATAATATCTTCCACTTACTGAGTATTTGCAACTTACCAGGCATTGTGTTAAACATTTTCACAAGCATTGTCCCATTCAATCCTCACAACAACTCCGTGAGATAGGTTCTATCACTTATTCCACTTCACAGACGAGGCAGCCAAGGCACAGAGACGTTAAGAGACTTGTTTAAGATCACACAGCTAACAAGTTGTAAGGCTGAGTCAAATCAAGTCTGTGTTTATACCCGTCACCTGCCCTTGCCCCCGTCTCTCCCATTTGGCTTGGTCTGGGTGGTGGAGCTGTCTCCTGTGGCTTCCCCTGCGGCAGATGGTAAAACAAGCCTTCAGGGAGACCCAAGCAGTCCCTCCTGTGTACTGTGACTATAATAAAGTGTGAGACCCTTGACTGTGTCCTGCCTCTTCCTGGGAATGTGAAAGGAGGGGAGGGGAGGTGATGGCAGCCTAACAGCCTGTATTAGTTCTCTAGGGCATTCGTAACAACGTGCTACAGACTGGGTGTCTTAAACAACAGAATGTTATTTTATCATAGTTCTACAGTCTGGAAGTCTAAGAGCAATGTGTCAGTCAGCAGGGCTGGCGTCCTCCCAGGCCTCTCTGTTTTGTAGACAGCCGTGTTCTCCCTGTGTCTTCACTGTGCGTGTCAGTGTCTCAATCTCTTCAGACAAGGACACCAGTCCTGTTGGATTAGTCCCCACCCACAGGTCTCATTTAACAGAAATTATTTCTTTAAAGACCTACTGCCAAATATAGTCAGAGTCTGAGGTACTGGGGGTTAAGGCTTCATCATGAACACAGTGGGGGGACGCAATCCAGCCCACAGCACAGTTGAGGTAACCCTAAAGTGACTTCACACTGCTGGACATTTCCAGGGGCCAGCTACACAGCAACCAGGACCCACATCAGGATAGTCAGAAGCTCTAGAAAGGTGCCAGGCTGTGTCTGAGAACACCCACCAAAGAGGGAGGGGAGGGGGAACGTCCCACAGGGTGAGGTCCCCTCAGGCGGGGGCCAAGGCACAGTCTGAGGAGCCAGGCCACACGGCAGCCTCTCCCCTTCAGTCCCAAAGGTGTGACTGACCAGGTGGAGGAGGCAAGACAGGCTCTGAAATCACACCTCACACAGTGCCAGGAATCAGAGTGAATGTAATATAAGCTGCACCACAGGCATCACGCCCAACTTTGTGGACATTTTAAACACACTTCTCTACCTTTGGCACTGACCCGCCAAACTTTGATACATTCTGAGGGGGGAATAAATAAACATGACTTCCTACCTGCAGATTCCCAGATGCCCAGGGCCTCCCCTCAACGCTCCTTTGAGCCCCAAAACAAGGCCTGCATGCCTGTGCTGCACGGCAGAGGAGCCCAAGGTCCCACAAGGCCCAGGGCAGCAGCTGGGGAGCCACAGGGACGAGGAAGAGGCAGGATGGAGGGAGAACTCGCCTGCTACCACCCAACCGTCCACCACACCCCACGCCCCGACGACACACCCTGTTCTTGTTCAGTTTTGGAGCGTCAGTCACTGGGGCCTCCTCCAAACTCACAGGCCTGGTCCTGCTGAAGTCCTTCTAGAACTTTCCCTCACACCCTTGGGGAATTATTGCTAAGATGCGGCTTCCTGACTCCCACAGGCAGGTTCTGCTCTGTGGTTTGAGATTTCCCAGGAGTGGAGGGAGGGGTGGGTGGGAGCAACAACAAATGTCCAGCAGAGGTGTGTCCTCTCCATTTACCTCTGCGAGCCTTCTTGACTGGGTGCCCCTACGCGTCTGCTGCTGGGGACACAGCGGTAAACGAGACAACCAGAGAACTCCGCCGTGTGAGGACTCGCTCACACACACACACCCACAGGTGTGAGGTCTTGCACTCCTCTTCCAGAATTTCAGCCTCGAGACCACTTCTGAACAGAGCCATAATGTGGTAACACTCTCTCAAATACGTCCCGACATGCCCAGGCAAGCCATGGGCCTCTGTCCTGTGGGGAGAAGGAACTGGCACCCCCTGACAAGTCTGGTGACAGATCTTCCAGCAGTGAGGACCT